AACAATTCCAAGATCCATCTCACTTGCAGTATTGTTGAGCCAAGTATTCCCCACTTTGTGTCAATGCATTTGGTTTCTTTTTCCTAGCTGAAGAACTTGGCATTTATCCCCATTGACTTTTATTTCTGTTTTCTAGCGTATTAGCCATCCCACCCAGTTTTGTGTTGTGGTAGACTGATGCGTTTTGCCCTCTTAGAAGTGTAGTTAATGATTTTTAAAACTTCGTTAGGTCTTTTGAATTGTGTTAGTCCCTGGTTTTAATGATGCCTCCAGTTCATATTTTTATACAGTTTATTGTACTGTTATTCTTCAGCTAGGAATTCCGAAAGTCCAAGGATAGCAACTGTAACTGTTGTCAGAATTACAGGGGAAAGATGTTGGTGAGGGTCTTAATAAGATCTACAAGCTCCAACTTTTGACTCCACCCTCAAAAGTTACGTGCCAGGCCCCCTCTATTTCCCTTCTCTGAAATTCAAATTTTTGTTTGTTTATTTATTGGATTTATATCCTGCCTTTTAAAAAGTGTTGAGTCATAGAGCTTGAACAGGGGTTTGCTGAAGACTTTTCTCACTGATGCCAACAGTCAAATGCATTTCCTCCCTGCAGCCCCCTCCCTGTCATTCTGTGTTTTAGTCCTAGTTCTGTAGCCATTCGAACATAATTAAAATGGAAAGAATAAGGCGGACTAGTAAGGCAGAAGTAAGAATGCCCACCAAACCCTTTGTGATTAAGACATTTCAAAGAGTACTAGCAAGGAGAGGGAATTGGTCTACTACCGCTGATGTCATATTCGTCTTTCACTCCGCCCTGACAGTTTCAGGCCTTTGGGGATGTGCCATTTGGAAGGCTGCCTGCCAAGCTAAATGGCAGAGGTTCTCCAAAAGTCTGTCTTTACCTTTTCCTCTCACTCAGCTTTCTTAGGAGATCACTCACTTCCACACTGATGAAGCACTTCAGGAAGTCAAAGGGGCTTCCTCAGAACCATCTGGAAGGTTAATATTATTCAGATTTCCTCCAGGCTTATTATAGGCTTGATATCAAAGGTGCACTTAGGCATCTTCATTACTGTAACGTCAGGTCCAACCTGGTTATGCATCGCTGTGGCAGGCACAGCCCTGCCTTCAAGCCGGTTTATTACTTGACTTCTGAGCCCTTCTCTCTTGAGCAGCAGGGGTAAAAATCTGCCTCCCCAGATATGCACGAGTGCGTTGCAGAGCTGCAGATGGGGGCTGCCGCATTTCGGATCTAACTAATGTCCAATATTTATATGATGCTCATCATTGTGAAAGGCATTGTGTGTGTGTGTATGTGAAAAACATCAGAGCACAGTTGTGTTTTTTTACTGGTTTTACCAAACCCATGTTCCATGCCTCCTTAAGGCTGCCAAACAGATGGAATTTTGTCAAACGCTGCTGAGAGGCAATATTGGGTGCACTGGAAATTTTGTTCACTTGATGATTTACCTGAAGGAACAGTAGCTAAAAATGGATGACATTTGGAAGACTTTAACCAAGTCACACTTGTGTAAATAAACCAGCCTTATTCAGACTCCCCAGTGGCTGGCTGGGAGGTGTAACCCAATTCATGTGGTGGGCACCAGGTTGGGGAAGACAGAAGTAAAAGATTTGAACCATACTATTTTTGTTGCCCCTGCCCCCCAAATAATACTTGGCAGGCTAGATCTCACATGCTAATTTCCTACCTAGCTATCATTTCCATGTAAGAAAAGCAGTGTAATATGCTAGTATACTAAGATATGTACAGCTGTTGCAGGCAACAGTGCTTACACAGAAGTGATATCTGTGCAGGAAAGAGATCTTGTATGAAATGGATCTTGGAGGAAGAGGTTCTCTGTGTAGGAGGGGAGGGAAGAAAACCAAGGCTGCCCGTTCTGTCTTGACCTCAAAGCGATGGCGGTATGGCTTTCCACCAGCACTGCTCAACCGCTTCCTCTCTTTCCTGTCTCCTGGAAGATGAGCTCCTAATGGTTTTTATGGGGCAAAGGCTCTTCCATGCCAGGTTGGTCTTGCTCCTGAGAACAGAGTGCACTTGGCAGTGCAACTGAAACAGTGTGGGCTGAGGGGAAACATTTTTCAGGAAAGTGAAAGCAGCACAGATGGAGCTTCTGTTCCCAGGGCTTTGTTGCTGGGCGTGAGTGGGCTCTTAGAGCATGGCTCCTGCTGTACTGAGAAGAGGGGTCCCTGGGAATGATATCACTGTACAACATAATAATGTAAGAAAAGCCGTACTGGATGGACCAAAGGTTCATCTAGTCAGCACGCTGTACACACAAGCTCCTGTCCAAGCTCCTCAGCAACTTTAGCGTGGCACCTCTGCTAAAGGAAGTAGCACATGGCTAGCAAGGCTAATAGCCATTGATAGCATCCTCCCTCTCGAATCTGTCCAATCCCCTCTTAAAGCAAATTCGGTGACCATCAATGCTTCCAGTGGTATAGTTCAACTATCCATTCTACTTCCTTTGGCCTGTCCTAAACCCCCCACCCATCAGCTTCCTGGTAGGCCCTTGGGTTCAAGGATTATGGGAGGGGGAGAAAAATGTCTCCTCACACCATGCATTATTTAAAACCTCTCTATCATGTCTCCCCTTTCTCACCCTTTCTCTAAGCTAGGCAGTCCTAGTCGTAGCCAAAGCTTGCCCATCACTTTCCCATATTACGCTGTAACTCATCACCTTTGCCTGTACATACGCCTCCCACTGGGAAATGAAAAGATGTAACTAATGTCTGCGGAAGAAACCAACATTTTCCCTTTGTGCATTTTTGGTGCTCTTCTTCCTCACTGGCAACTGGATCCTGCCCTCCCCTTCCCCCCATCTAGCAGATGCTACATACTACTTGCATTTTTTGTGCGCCCACCTACTTTTCCCCCAAAAGGTTTTTTTTTTTTTTAATTTGTCCTGGGCTATTTTCATATTTTTATGTTGTGAATCTCTGGTGAGTTATGGCACAAAATTATCTCCTTGAAGAGGAGACTGGATTACCAAACAGGAGGAAGGTGAAGGCAGAGCAAGAGGAGCCCAGGACCAGTGGGGAAGGAGCCAGGTGCCCCATGTTTTGGCGTCCACTGGTTCCCACTGCATTCAGGGGTACCCTGCTTCCATCCATCAGCTCCAGGTGGAACAGGGTGTCTTAGCTACGGGAAATGGTCCTCAGCCTGTTGTGTTCAGGTCACAACTCATGGGATCCTAGTCACACGCAATCTATCACTCTCCCTATGCTGTGAGTGGACTCTGGCCACTCTCCTCAGCCCAAGAAACCTGACACTGTTATGTACAATCCACAGGCTGGGGACCTAACCAGCAACTCAAATCACACTTATTCTGTGGGTCAATGCTACATTTAAATGGTATCTACTGTATATGTGGTGTCCATGTTTTGAGCAGGTCACTCCTCTCTTTCAACAGACTCAAGGCAAAACCTTAGAAGTGCATTGTTTTAAAAAACTGAAACTCAACTGGATACAGAATATTCTCAGTCAGGGTAGCATTTCCTTTGAGATGTGGGAGAAGCATCTGCCCATGAGAAGAGCTAAATCTAAGCTGAAACCTCCTCTCCCTTTCAGAAAAGATTCTGACTGCACCCTCCGGTTGGCTCCTGCCGCTTCACGGCTAGGCAGTGGGGACACTGGACATTTCCCACCTGGTCTGCTCACTTAAGTGGGTCAAGGAGTCCTCCCTACATCTCCCTCCCCTTCCAGTTCTAAAAAGCCTCCCTCCGTTTCCAAGACAGGCTCGTTTTCACACTCTCCCTGAGAAACTTCACTAGGTAACCTTGAAACCGCCAAGCCCTTCGTCCCCCTTGCTGCTTCTCCTCCGCCTCTGAATCAGATGAATCTGAGCAGACTGTAATCGCCAGAGACCGGCCCCTCTCTGCAGCCTGCATGCCAATGATCCCTGATGACTCAGGTACTGTGAAGGTTCCAGATGTGCCACTGACCATATGAAGAGGTTACAGGCAGAAGGGCTTTGGGGAGGCGGGGAGTATGTCCAGCAGTGTGTCTAAACTCGTTTTTAGACAACACTTTAAAGCCTAGCCCTACATTTAAAGGCACCTCTGTTCTGGTTTTCATGGCATTTGATGGCAAGCACTCATTTTGGATGTTCAGGAAAGAAATGTTAGTGATTCTTCTCTAAAGAAAACTCTGGCATGAGGGGGAAGTCCAAGACCAAAACCGATGCAAAGTGGTTGATCAAATTATGTATTTGTGGAAGTGAAGACCTTGCAGAATGCAGGATTTTGTATCCACACCATTCCAAAATGGACCCATAATCAGACCTGTGATTAAACCGCAATTATATTTTATAAAAAATAGTTGACTTTCACAGAAGTGAAGAGATACAATTGCACAATGGTGGACACAATGATATAAATACAGATCATTGAGAAATTACTTGCGAGAGGTTTAAAAACAGACTGTACAGCACCGCATCTGAAATTGTGTAACAGCCAATGGAATTTTACTTTTTCACCTCTAAAGAAATCAAATCTGTAAATATTTGACTCTGGAACAGTGTTTTTGGAAAAAAAAGCATCTGACAACAACACTCAAAGAATATTGATGCACATTCTCTTTCTGATTACTGTCCCATATTTTGATGTTGAGCAATTAGACAGATTTTTATTTTAAAAAATGATGTATGGTAGAAAAAGACATTCATGCAGTTAAGCCACCATTAGTCTCTGACTCTAATATAAGGCAGATCATTAATATTTTAAAAATGTTTTAAACAATGTCTTTAGCCACTGAAATCAATTTTGGTGCTATCCATGACAAAGTCATGGCAGGCCTTGTGTAGAGTTAAGAAAGATAACCCGCAATTCCAACCAGGTCATTTTAAAGAAAGGCTCCGCCATATTGGAATACATTATACTGTAGAAAAAACTCCCCCCGCCCCAATTCTTACTGGAAAAAAGAACTTAAAAGAAACCTGGCAGGATGCTTTTGAGTTCAGCACAAATGACTGCTTTTGGGTGGCCAAAATCAATGTTGGATCAAGGTTTATGTGTCATCTTCTGTCTTAATTATGTGAAAAAGAGTGACGTTGAAAAGGACTTGGTGTCCATTATTCCAGGCATACAGAGCCCGGTCTCTGGCATTGTAGTCAAGCATGGATATATGAAAGTACTGGTTATGAAAGGGTATGTCTGTGTATTCATATGTGGAGGTTTTTGTGGAATAGGAATAGTAGACCTTGGCTCCAGTTAAGTGCGAGTTGGTGACGTACAAGGTGCCACAGATCATGAAGGATTCCCCGGCACTTCTCTTTGGGTATCCGGTGCTCCAGCTTTTCATCACTTCTAAGGTATCCTGATTCAACTGGCTGATGACAATGTTGCCTGCATTCTGGTTGGTTGCGTATATGGCCCACAAGCCGATTTCGTCTGCCATCAGGTCGATATCTGAGAAGCCACCCCAGGTGTATGGGTAGACGTTGTGGAAGCCTGCATACTCCAGGCTACGCTGGGCAAGCACCCGTCCCGTGTCAAAACTGTACTTGATTATAATGTTGCTCTGGTATTTGTTGAAGTAGAGAGATCCGTTGTAGACCACGTGGTTGGTGCCTGCCCATTTGAAAGGGAGATTGTATGTCCTTGACTCAGCTCCGCTGACGAAATCTGCTATTGATTTGTATTCGCGGACAATTTTGTTGTTGGTGTAGCTGTCCATGTACCAGACCTGAATGCAGAAGGAAAAGAAAACCACATGTTATTTGGTCTTGCCCAGTTATGAATATGGAAAGTTGCCCAACCATGCACAAAGCTTTGCTATGGTGCCCTCCAGACACTCTAGACTGCAATTCCCATGGGGCTGGGGATGGCTGGCACAGGCAGTGATAAGAATGATGTGTGGGGTTCAGGATTAGTCCAGACCCATCCCCCCGTATGTGTATCAGTACTGTCATAATTTATGTTACCCTTACATGGCGTTTTCTCACTTTCCTGTTTAAATAATACAAAGTGATACATTTCCCAAGGGATGTATAAATACAATAAATAAATAATTTATTTAGTATTCTGGAGTAATAGTCCCTTAGGAGACTTTCCTGATGTGTTGCCCAGGAAGACAAAACTCACAAGCAGAATCCTTTCCACTTATCTAGAATTGATGGGAGACCCCTGTAAGAGCCTTAGCAGCCACAACATACAATCCTGACTTAAGGAATGCTTGAATTGTCCTCTATTTGGCCAGGGGTGTTGCTGGTTTTAATAGTGGACTCAGATGATGAGTGCAGACAGAAATGGGGCCACTGGGAAACAAGAGACGCTTCAGCATGCTAGAGGGAGCCCTGCAGTTTGCAATAATAGATAAAAAACTTTGTTACGAAAGGGTGCACCATTTCCCTATTAAAGCCTAAAAAGAGGCTGCAGAATGTTGAATATCAGTTGGACCAGATATTCAACTACAAACTGGGATGAAGAGAGTAGAATGTATGGACTCAGCTCCATTTGATGCCCTGGAGGATGGAGAGGTTGGCTGGCAGGAAGCCTGGGCAGAAGCACTCCTGCCACGAGCATGTGATGTACTGCAACATTGTGTGGCAGGTCACCCTGGTACTTCGCGTTGGCACCAATGCCAAGAAAGCTACAATTGCTGACTCTTCTCACTTTTCATCTTCAGCCTAGGCCCTCTTCTTCCTTGATGACTTATTTTGGACTATCGCTTTGGATGGCAGACCTGAAGCCATTTGCTGGTCTTATGGAAACTCAACTAATCTTCAATGGAGTAGAACTCATCTTTGGACTGCTCTTCAAATAGAGCTCTCTTGCAGTTGGGTTCTACTGGGAGAAGATGATAGCGTTGTGGTTTGCATATTCTGCATGTAGAAGGTTCAGGTTGCTTTCAGTCTGGTGTTCCACAGGATGCAAGAACTTTGTAAAGACCTTTGCTGAGATCTTGGAAAGTCACTGCATATCACAGTTGCCAATATGGCAGGAGCCATTTACTGGCTCAATATAATACCCATTTACTGGCTCTAATGCCACATGTTTGTATATTTATTTGTTTGAAATGTTTCCATACCTCCCTTCATTCTATTTAGAATTTCAGTGTTCACTGACCAACCAGGAGAAAAAATAGAAGCCACATACTCGGTTATTTTTCTCTGATGCTAATGGATCTGTCATCCAAGCTCCGAAGCGGGTTCCAGATGTCTTGACTGTAATAGGTCCAGTGATTTTCATCAATTTGCCACATGCTGAAAGTATAAAAAAACAAAAAAAATCAAAGTGAATCTGAGGAAATCCCCTACAAACCAGAACACACATGCCAACTGCATTCTTCTTCTTCTAGCTCTAGGTGGGGATGAAAAGAGACTGAATCCGGGGTGAGGGACATTAAAGAAAGGCTCATGTGCTCCTCTTCTTTTTTGTCCCATTCAAAGGAGAGGACAGTTCACTAAGCTTAATTCAATGAGAGTTAGGTTATTCGAACACCCTTACAATGGAATTGAAACATACTGGAAAAGAGAGAGGTCTTTTGCAGGTGTGTTGAACTTCAGATCTGAGGGTCAAATCTGGTCCACTTGGGGTTCCCCAGAGCACCTGACCAGCTCTCTTGCCCCACTTTCTCTCAGCTACCAATAGTTTGATATTTTCTTGGCTTTTGCACTCTTTCCATTCATTCTAAAGGGTTGAACTGCCTCTTCTAGAGCTTAGTTATTGATGGAAAGAGCTTTAAGCTGAAATATGCAGACATTGTTAGTATTTTGGCACAATCCGCAAAGACTAATCTTGCCTTTAGTTTACCCACCACTGGAATGCAGCCTCTTTTGGTGACTGATTAGCTATGTTGCTCTGTAACATTGCAATTGCTACTCTTTGATGTGTTACCTCCCTTGATTGCTATTTAATTATGTATTAGGGTTTTATCTTGCTAGCTGCTGCTGTTTGTGGATCCTTAGGGTAGAAATATCATCAATCAATACAATAAAAATGAATGCACATTTAGTTGTAGGTGGTACTCTAGTTGAGTGCACAAGCTCCTTCACTAGGAAGTCTGCACTGCTATCCTAGAAGCTGCCTACATGTGAGTAGCTGTATTTGCACATGTTTCTCTGGTCCATTGGATGGAGAACGGAATGGCTATTGTCCTGAAATCAGAAAAACTGAGCATTCCTGCGGCAGGCAAGAAAAGGGTTATTGAAGGAACACTGCATTGATAATTGCATGTATTTTATGTTCAACTCCCGAATAGTCCTAAAGCAATTACATTTTAGATATCTGAATTTAAGTTCTGTTTCCAAGTAATGGCGTACCTCTTGCTAATCCTACTTCCACTAATGTCTGTAGAGACATTCCAAGAACTTGCCTCTTTGCAGGGATGAATTGGGAAGCCTTTGCATACCTGGGAAGGAAACACGGAAGAATTCCCCTCTTCTGTTACCATCATAAATCTTGCCCTGCCCCCTGCAAGATTCTGACAAACTTAATGCTCACTGAACTCCCCTCAAATGTCTGTCTCCAGATTGAAAAATAATCTATAATCTTTGCAGGCAAGGTTTTTTTTTTTTTTTTTTTACTCCAGCTTCTTTTCCTTAAAGTTACTTGGATTCTATTGTGCAAGGTTCCATAGGGCTGAGCATTTTGCGGATTACAGAGAAAACTCAACCTGAGGAGCAGATGAATGAAGATGCATAGAAAATCAAGGAATATAAAATAATTTTAGAAATCCAGCCTAACGGCTAAGTAGGTCAGGCCAGAGACAAATAGGATAGAGTGTGTGATTTGGATTGCATCAGCCCAGTTATGACTTCATTTCTTACCCTTAAGTCACTGGTAATGAATGCACTATATCATCAGAGCCTATTTCATTGAGTTATAATGGGACAAATGCTCTGATAAGCTGCCTTAAGGCATTCAATCCATTGCCAGCAAAAATGGATCTAATGGAAATGCATATGAACTGAATAAACACTCAAGTCCTTGAACTGCATGTCACAGTGTGCTGCCATATTGCATGGCCAGTTTCCTTGTCTTTTGGACTGCCTATCTGTAGCATGGGTATGCATTTTGAGGTACAAGACAGAGCGAAGACAGGAAGGGGAGGAGAAAACACTAGTTTTGGTGACAACTAAACAACCCTCATTGTATTTTGTTCCAGTCACAGCCAGTGAATAATTAAAGAGAATAAGAGAGTCTGTTTCATGACTGGCCCTAGCTGAAGACTTGGGGAATGTGGGAGGTGACCATGGGCTGAAGTTTCTACATGACCCATAGCTCAGATTTTGCATTTCATGTTCTGAATTCTGACACATTTTCCAAGACAAACTTGATAGCTTCAAGGCACAATTCTATGCAAATTTAGATGGAAAAATGTCCTGTAATCCCAAACTTCTTGGGAGTTGCAAGCATTCTGCCTAAATTTGCATAGGATTGTGGGAAGCTGTGCCTTCCCACCTTCTCATTTACCCAAACTTAGGTCTTGAAAAGACAGCACCTGTACAGAACAAACTCAGCCTAACCGCTCGATGGTCAACAACGTAGAATAAACAGCAAAAACTGATACAAATAAATAATACATTGCAACAACAATCCATAAAACGATCAGCCAAACACTAAGATAAAAGGACAATAAAACTAATAAGTAAAATAAATAAATCTAATAAACAATAATCAAATAAAACCAAATAACCCACAGTGCCTTCATAAAGGATAAAGCATAATTCAACATTTACAAGAGTTGGAGAATAAAAAGTTCTTAGCTTGGCACTTAAAAGGAAAAAGGGTTGGTACACCTCTCGGGAGACCTGGTTCCATGGCAGATAGGAAAATAAAAAGTCATTTTCCCCCAGAAAATTATTCCCTGTTGCTATTTGAAATGCCTCCCCACTCCATTAAGAGAGCTCTCCTGGTGTCATGCTGCCACTGGCAATGCACACACACCTCGGCCTTTGAAAAAGAAGGACTTTGCCATGCCACTAATTTCTCCGACTGCTGTGGCCAGTTGCTGATGGGCAACCGAGCCAGAACCATGTGTGGTGTGGCAAGTTCCTTTCTCAAACAGACCACGTGTGACATTGCACACATGCTCAGAGCATTCCAGAGCCTTTCCTTGAGGTGGAAATATTTCTGAGGTCTTCCAAGTAGCTCTTGTTAAGAGGGGGAAGTCAATACAATGTGGTTCAGCTCAAGCTTTTTGCCTGAGCCTGCCAATGAGAGAAGAGCCCCTCCCTCTGTAAGGAAGGAGTTGACATCCATGATGGGGGCCTGAATGGTGATGCTGGCCAGCCCATTGGCTGGTGTCACAGACCAAAGCTGCTTTCTTGTCCCTTGATTTACTTTTTTGTCCCTTGCACAGCTGTCTGCATTTCTTTTTAATCTAAGAGTGCACCTGCACAGATTAGCAGGGAAATATCTCTCGCTGCCTGGTGTCCTTTGCTCATTGTCTGTACCCTTCTGCTCTGAAGTGAAGGTAGCACCCCTCATCCTGATGCCCCAAACGGGCTTGTATCCTAAGACACTCAGTGAAACCTCCTTGATCCCTGGGGCCATTATTTTAGAAACCTGGCCTGCTATAGAGGATCTTGTCCTAATCTCTTGGTATTAGTTTTTGTCAATATGATTCTTTATCCCCTTTGAATTGTAAATGTGTAGTGAGGTAAGAATGAAGGCATGCAGTGTTTAATTCTTACAAGGATTAGAATCATCAAAGAAGGCACCCATTTGAATCATCAAAGTAAAGGAACCAACAATAATGTGGGGAGGGGATCTATGCTTGGGGAAGAAGATGCTGCACTGGAAAAACGTTCATGGCTGCCCAGAAAGCCCTCGAGAGGCACAGGAGCACTGTAACGGGTTGTGAAGGGCGGCTCCTCAGAGGAACTGATTCTGGACTGATGATAGGTGTTCATTTATGAAGAAAGCAACAGAAAGATCTCTGATTAAATGCTCTTCCTCTCAAGAGGGTATAAGAATCCCAGTCTTCCTGAAGCAAGTTGGGTGATGCAACGGAGAGATGTACAGATCAGATGTTCATACACTAGAACTCCCTAGTGTTAAATCACTATCTGACCCACCAGTGGTTGTGTGTGTTTAAGTATGAATGAGTAGATCACTTTCCTGTTGATTGTGCCTAATGCACTGCATTTCCTAACCAGGGTTTTGGGTGGCATCCTGCCCCACTTGCTGTCTTACTGTTTTGGAGGAAGCAGCCCTTCCTTCTTGTGTTAGCAACCATTGGTTGAGTCGTCTTTCCAAATAAAGCTATTACACTTCTGTCATTCTTGGTGTGTTCTTATCTCTGCTACTGAGAAATTCAGCCTGGTCGTCTGAGATGTCTCATTTGGTTAAAAAAAAAAGGCAGTGTCACATTAGGAAAGCCAAGTCAACCAAGCAATTGTTTAGGTGAGTAAGATTAGCCTCTTGCTTTTGAATGTTTATTGCTGCAGTTCATTGGATGATATCCTTGTATCATTAGGGGGTGTGCATTTGCGTGTGTGCGTGTGTATTCTTGTGCATAATTTGGGTTTTTTCTCTCTCCTTCTCTTTGTTTTGCTCTGTGTGCAGATGCTTTGAGGTTCTGTAGGGATGTGTGTCCTCTAGGGTCTCTCTCCATCTCTGTGTGGGTGTGTGTTTGTTTGGGTTTGTGTGTGCCTAAATACTTTGGCGTTGCTGTGCGAGTGTGTTTGTGTGCGATGGGACCTGGGGTCTTTGTGTTTTGCAAAGGCTTCATGAGGGATATAATTGCAATTATCATTAATACAAGCAAAGGGACAGACTGTAGACACACACAAGGTTGCCATGCTCTCTCCTGAGCAGCCCAGTCTTTGTTGCTTCTTATGAGATCTGCATAATCTGAATGCTGGATTGTGCTGCTTCTGAATAGTGAAACGGCCCTAGTGAATGCTTTGTGATGGCTATATGAGTCAAGCTTTTCGATGCTTCCAGAACTTGCCCCTGTGAGCCAAAGCCTGCTTTTCTGTGTGGCTCTGATTAAAATGTATATTATGTGAATTGCTTTTATGGCTGCGTGGATTTTCCCTTCCCAGGCTTTACCTTGGAGTAACTTGATTCTCTGCAGAATGGGAATTGCTGCCGGGAGAGGGGAATGTAAATCCCCAAGAGTATTTTGTGTGGCTATGTGAACTATTCTACTTTCATGTTGTGTGTCTCCAGTTTCTCTTTCTGGGATATTGGTTGCTGATTGTTGGGCATTCAGGGACCCTTGGCTCTCTCTCTCAGGACCACTTGGCCCATC